ATATAAATATATATATATATATATATATATATATATATATAACATAAAATGGACCTCTATGTTATAGTATTTTCATTATTATGGCAGATCCTGCAAGGTTCAGGTTTGCGCATCAAACATCATTCGTTAGGCGTCACTCTGGTTGGTCTAGGATGCCAGGAATTCGATGGATAGTGAGTTTCATTTCATCCATTCTTCCACATCAACAAAAATAAAATAGTTCTATTTATACAATACAATTAATAAACCTTTAATTTGCATGTTTTTGTAGGTGGCATTCTTTAGGCAATTCTTTGCGTCTGTGACTAAAGTGGATTACATGACTATGCGGCACGGATTTATTAACGTGGGTGCCTAAGCTTACATGTATGCATAAATGCTACTGTTTTTAATTAATTCAATTTGTCAAATTTATCACATGCAGGCACATTTTGCTCCCAATACCAAATTTGACTTCCAAAAATACATTAAAAGATCCATGGAAGACGACTTCAAAGTGGTTGTAGGCATAAGGTAGTCACGAACGCATTAATCTTCAAGTGTTTTTCGTTTTCTGTTTTCATTTTACTGTATTAGTTTCTGTTTTGCAGTATTCCGCTATGGGCTTTTGCAATCATCTTTCTGCTTGTCAACGTTTACAGTAACTCTCTCTTAACTATCCAACTCACACACGCAATGTTGTCATTCAAGTGTTTGGTTTAATTACTTTTAACTTTACTTCTGCAGAATGGTACACGCTCACTTGGCTATCATTAGCGCCGCTAGTGGTAATTAAGAAAACTCGTAATTGAAAAGTTGTTGATTATTATTAACATGAAAGTTAACAACTTCATTGCTTTGCAGATACTTTTATTGGTGGGCATGAAGCTGGAACTTATAATCATGGAAATGGCCCAAGAAATCCAAGATCGAACCACAATTGTTAGAGGAGTACCTGTTGTAGAGCCAAACAATAAGTACTTTTGGTTTAACAAGCCTCAGTGGATTATCTTCTTAATCCATTTTACCTTATTCGAGGTGATAATTTCAATTCGTGTCTAATCTATACATAAATATTTTTCAGTCCAGTTTCATTCTAAATTATTTATTTATTTGTACCTTTGCAGAACGCCTTCCAAATAGCCTTTTTCTTGTGGACATGGGTAAGCATTTTGAGAAATTTCAAGTTTTGGGGTTTCAATTTCAAATATAGGGTATTCATTCATTGTTTTCTAATGATGTGCAGTATGAGTTTAAGATCACATCTTGCTTCCATGAAAACTTGCCATTAATACTAACAAGGGTTGTCCTTGGGATAGCCTTGCAAATTGTATGCAGTTACATAACATTTCCTCTCTATTCCCTAGTAACACAGGTGAACAATTTGAAACTAAGCATATATATATTATTATAGAATAAAAGTAGTAAAGTTATTAGGGTTGTAGAGTCTGACCAAGATGTTAAGAAACTTGTAGATGGGGTCTCACATGAAGAAAGCAATATTTGAGGAGCAAACAGCAAAGGCACTTAAGAAATGGCAAAAGACAGCAAAGGATAAGAGGAAGTTAAGGAAAGCAGGGATAGAAATAGCTTCAGGAGAAACAACACCAAGCCACGGGACATCACCACTGCATTTGCTTCACAAGTCAAAGCCAAGCCACAGCCACATAGAAATGGACAGTGTTCTCTATTCTCCACGATCGTACCAATCTGATACTGACTTGTCTGAGACAGAGGGATCCTCACACCAACAAAATGAAATAACACAAACACATCAACCTCCAAGGAATAATGGACTAACTCATGATATCGATTTTTCATTTGAGAAGCTTTAATTGAGAATTAATTAATGGTTTGTGCTCAAAATAATAGCATAGCAGTATAGCTTTCCATAAGAGTCTTGGCCTGCCCAACCTTCCCCCAAGCTAATATTCAAAGAGTTAATTACTTATACACCGTTAATGTAATTTTTTTTTACACTGATAACCAATTATATCTTTTAATTGTGTCATGTCACTGTTAAAGGTAAATGTGTTTTTATAGTAACATGGCATAATTAAAAGATATAATTAGTTGCCGGTGTAAAAAAAACTTTACACTAACATTATATAGGTTATTAACTCATATTTAAATACCGGTGTAGCTAGGTTTTTTTTTTTTTTTTTCTCGTGCACATTCTTTTAAGACATTGTTAAAATAATAATAGTTATAAGCCAAGCGAGGTTTACATAATAATTAGGATACTTATGGTGTTATGTACGGATATTATGTTTATAATTGATAACATTTTTATGTTATTATGATTTTTAATATATTTATCTATTATTAATATATGTTAATATATTTATAAGTGAATTTTGAGTTTGTTTACGATATATTTTTTTATTAATTTTTAAATTATTATTTTTATTCTATGAAATAAACAAATTTGGTTTTAATCCATAATCTTTAATTTGGAAATGAATTACTAGTTATAACCGAAAATGCTACTTAGTCCTAAATGTATTGGTTTGGTGGAAGATAATTACATGTTCTAGTTATATCAAAATAATAAAGTATAATTAGTCGTACAATGATACAACAAAACTTGACTTTATGATTATAGATAATTTTTAATGCCTTTTTTCCATTTTGATCATATAACTTATATCTTGTATGTGACAATCTTATTATTTTTTTCAAAAATTGATGCTAATTGGAAAAAATTGTCACTAAATATAATTTTAGTATTGATTTTGAGTTGATATTATATGAACAAAATTATTTGAAACTATTTTTTTTAACATTTTTATCTATTGAAACTTAGTAATTTTGGTTTAACAAACATTAATATGAAAACTAAGAAATTAAATAAGATGGACCCTAATATTTGATTTCACTTATTCTATATTAAGTTAATTAAAATTAACATTATTAATGCCAACTATAAGTTGATGCTATAATAGCCGCAAAATATTAGTGTTGACTAAGTACCTAGTTTTTTGTTGGCAAACAAATTACAAATATACATAATCTATAATCTATATTTGCTCTTTTAGAAAAACTATTAACTTAACCCCTTAACTTAGCTAAAAAGAGTTTGTAAACGTCTATAGTCCCTTAAGTTTTGCGACCTTGCAAATAAGACAATGAATATTTAATTTTAAAATATGATAAATTCAAAGAATATAAAATCATATAAAATATTTATATATAAGTCAATACATATTAGATCCAATGTTGCCAATTATGTGCGACGTGTATTGTGTATTGAATCGTCTTTGACCGAAGCCTAAATGATCATTTTGTTTTGAATTTAAAACTTTTTAAAGCCAAATTATCTCAACAAACAATAAGATCATGAAAATTTTGTTTTTTATCCATTAATTTGCACTTTCTTTTCGATCTTGTGACCTCTAACAATTTTCTTAAATATTTTACACTAAATTTAATCCCTTTATATGAATTTGAGTATTTATAGAGATTAATCATTAATTCTTATTCTGAAATTATCTCAATTATATATATAACTATTTTTCTCTTTTAAAAAATGGAAACTTGTACATAACTTTAAATATATATTTTTTTGTTTGACAACTTTTTAAGGAAAATTGATCTGCCAAACAGCAAAAGCATTAAATAATCCAATTGCGGTTGGTAAGTCAAATCGGTATGCTTTTCTCTTTCTGTTGTCTATAGACGAAAGATGTTTTCGGCATATTATTAGGCGTTGCTACCAAGTTTCAGCAACTCACGGTATTGCTTTTGTCACTATCATATGAAAGTGACATCGGAAGCAATGCCTCTTAACAAAAAAATGATTAGTTAGAAGATTCCAAATCATTATGTTCTAAGTAGGACGGCACATTAAATAATTATTTATTCATTAAGAATTTTAGATAATAAAAAATTCCATTGCTTCAGGTTGATAATAAATAAAGTTATTATACTATAGCATTAGAAGAAAGCTAGTCATCAAAGTATTTCACTAATTACGTAAAGAAAATTTTTATGGTTTATTTTTAAATTATATTAAATTAAAGTTATCATCGAATTGAATTAGTAATTAATATGTCCCTCTTTTGACTTCATTAAAAAAATAAAATTTATACTATCATATAACTATAAATTATTATATAATAACATTATTAAATTTTATAATATCTATTTGAAAACCTTTACACTAATAACACACAAAAATTAAACTCCAAAAACATCACTTCTTAACCATCATATGATCCATACAAGAACAATCTCATCGAGACAAAATGCAACATTAGGTGGAAACGTAACAATCACATTCAAATAGGGATTTTCTCCAAGTCAAAGTTTATTTCATGGAATATTGATATATTATTATATCACCCCGTCTCTAACCGACATGTATATACGTGACACCTAACACGTATAATTTATGGCCATATAAACATTATTTAAGAGAGTTGATGTAAAGGTTTTTATCTATCCATTACACAGAAGTGATATAATTTTTTCAAGGAACTGTTTTGATTTTTATTTTTGTATGAATCTTTTGTCTTGTTTTATTTTATCAAAATATTTAAATATTTATCTTTTTTTTAAGTACCTGAATTTCACTAAGTGTATAACAATTTTTTTAGTTAATTTATAATTTTTTTTATCATTCATGATGAATAATTATGAATCATCACTTTTTTTCACAAAATTACTATACAAAAGATATAGAGGTATTAAGTGTCTTAATTCTACTAATAGCAACATAATATAAAAAGTGTTCAATAAAAAAGTTTATTTTTTTTGGGAAAATATTTTTGTAAACTATTTTTACTGTTATCATTTATTGATATAAATGATCTAAGATCTAATTCAAACTTACATTTCCTATAATGTGAGTTCAACATTCATGTGACCAATAAAATCTTATTTTGGTGGGACATATTCAAGAAAATTCTCTGGTGTCAGATGGGGTACTACTACACTTTGACTAACCACTAAACGAATAATGATGTTTGATTTGAGAATTCTTAACATGCATGTCTTTTACTCTTTGTCCAGTAGTCATGGAATATTATTCCATGTCTACCATTTCAACACATGAAAAAACATTTATAACTAAGCAATATAGTTTGACAACTACTAATTAAGTATCCTTGTAAGAAAGTTTTTAATTTTGTAAAATCCCAATAATTTTTTTTCTTTATTACCATGTGTATCATGTTAGATATAATCTGACTTGGATCCGTTAAGATGATATAAGAGGATGATGAATAGTAGAATATCAGATCTATTGCACAAGTTGGGTTAAAATCAACTTGATCACTTAACCAAATCGATCAAAGATAGAATATGAGATAAATAGTATTAAATCGACCTCTATTACTTAGTATGTGTTTTATTAACCATGTCTAAGGAAAGTTAGAATTAATTCGACCTTACAAAATTTGAACCAAATTTAATATTGAATAATCAAAGTAATATGCTAATATATGATACTTAAATTATCTTATCAAATTTTGAAACTCTCAAGGTTCATATACCCATAAAAAATTAGCTATAAAAACCCTAATCCTAGAATAAGAGAAGATAAAAATATACTTTTGAATGCTTTGAGTTTAATTGAATAACTAGACTAATCCAAACACATTCTCCCAACTGAAACACCAATATTATTCCTTCGAACATAGAGATTTACCTCCTTCATATGTTTGAAAGACACCAAAGAAATCTTAATGATATTTTATCTCATATTTATCCGCAAGATAAAACATGTAGTCTCCCATGCCAAATTAGTGTATCTTTTTAATAAATCATTTAAATTATTTTATATTTTATGTAGGTATTTTCATGTGCCCATATACTAAAAGTATTTTTCGATCAAATACACCAACAATATAAAATCTAACATGTAGTTGCACCGGCTAAACTTAAACTTGGTCTTCTTAAATTAAAAAAAAAAATTAGATTTAAATTTTGTGGATAAAAAATAAATTGGAAAGGGAGATTTAACTAAAGATAGTCAACTAAATTTTTGAGTAGAGATTAATTATTAATATAATAATAGATATTTTATACCAATAATAAAATAATTTTAAAAACAGTAATATAAAAAAATATACCATGTTTGGTGGATTTTTTTTTTTAATTTTCAATAAACTATTTTAAAAGTTATAACTAACATAATTTATGATCGATTAATAATAAAAAGCAAACAATTTATATTTTTTCAATTTATTTTTATAGGGTCTTTTATAATTAGTGCTCATAAAATACTGGTTAAAAATTGATATGTAATTTTTTATTAAAAACTATATTAAAGTTATATAAAAGAATGTGCTATTATATTTTTAATAAAAAAAAAAAAACTTTGATTCCAATATGTTGCAATTTTGTTTGGAGCAAGTTGTGTAAGGAAGAAGGAGTAGGAGTGAAGCGAAACAGTGAAATGAATAGGGTCCACCTTGAAAGTTGAAAGCAGTGAGTATATAATATGATAGATTACTCCAACTAACGATAATAAATATAATAATATTAATCTATAAGAATAGTGGGAGAGTGAGTGAGTGAGAGTCTTGTTTCTCCCTCTCTCTTCCTTGAATTTGACTTGGCAAACCCTAGCCTAAGAATTCAGAATCAGTCTTCACTTTGATGCTCCTTCTGTGCGGAAATGCTTCCGATTTGGTAGTCCCTTAGAGAGGTTTTCATTCCGTCATGGCTAGGCGTCATGGATGGGAACTCCCCTTTCACACTTTTCAGGTCGCTACTCTTTCAATGCTTTTTGTTTCTTCTCATTTTCCACCTTCTTCTACCTTTTGACTTTCGCCTTTACCCTCTTTCCCGTTTAATCCTACTGCATTGTTCTCCTCTACGTCTTTTCGCCGCTAATTTTCCTATTTTTGCCTCTCACTTTCTTCCATGTTCTAATTTTATGCCGAATCTCATGCGCTTTGTCGTATATGCTGTGTCCGCGCCTTTTCCCTCTCTCACTTTCTGACGGTTTCTGTTTTTCGACTCCAATATCCATTTGCCAAACATCTTTTTTTTTTCTTTTTTT